TGAGTTACAATATACTTAGGAATCATTTCACATCAGCCACCACCACGCTGGAGCTTTCTCCTGAGGGAAGCTGAAGGGAGCCATTAGGATGGTGCCTGCAACATTAAACAACAATCCAGGAGAGGAAGTAAAGAATATTCTGGCTCCTTAAAGCAATGGCTGAGCAGAATGCAGTCACTGAGCTGCCATCCAGCTGGGACACCAAAGTCAATACCCATTCACCGTGTGTGGTTAAAATTAAATCTCCTAATGAAGTGAGATGGTTTTAGTGGTTAGAGAGTGAGTGCAAAGTATTATTCTCCTGTATTATTATTTGTAAGTTATACAGCTAACAAGGGAAAAGATCACACACAGGAAAACAGCAGACAGTTAGATAACGTTCCAAGCCCAGTTTCTAAATGACATTTGGGCAAATACAGCTTTGGAAAAAAAATATTAAAAAAAAAAAAAAAAAAGATGACACAGAAAAAAAATGGAATTGGTAGTTTCTCACTGTTTTCAGGGAACTAAACTAAACTGAACAGAATTGATGTCAGTTTTTATCCCCTATAGTTCAGGTCCAGAGAAAAGAACATTATTAGCTTCTGTTAATGAGCAGGTATTCCCTAAACGCTGCTGCAAATGCTCCTGAATCTTAATTTGCTTAGAAAAAGAAATGGTAAAGTATTGAGAGGAAAAAACCCTTAAAAGCCTTTTTTTTTTTTTTTACCCTGAATTAGCAAAATGCTTCGATGGTTTTCTGGACAGGAGGTTTATATATCTGACTAAAAAGATCCTCACACAATGTTATCAAGCTCTCCTTTCAGGGCTAGTAATTGCTAGCTGGTTCTAATCATTCTTGCAAATGATCATTTGAAAGGTTCATTTTATGACCCCTCAAACTAAGCACAAAGAATCTCACTCCATAATGTAATAAACAATTCCACAACCAGTGCTTAATTAATTCCCGAAAGTCACCAAAAGGAGCTATTAATGATCTTTCCTTTTTATCTAACCATAAATATGTGAGTCTCCCGGGATAATGGATTTAAAAAGAACATTCTGGCAAGACTAACTGTCAACCTGATAAAGCATAAAATGATCACCAGTGAGGGTAATTCAAAATACAGGGCAGTGCTACCTGGTCTGATTAGAAAGTTAGGTCAAGTTGGATTAAATTTCTCTGAATGTGGTGCTGACCAAAAAGAGGTCAACACTGACATGGTACAAACCAGACTCAACTCAAATGAATAACCAAGAGAAAAATACTACAGCCCTTAGACAGTTATTTTTAAAAATTAGCAAATTTTTGGAAATTTGCTTTCCTGTGAAAATATCAACAATCACTATAAATGGAGGGTGGGCAGTATTTCAAGGTTGTTTACAATACATGTATTACAAAAAGCAGACTGATATTTTCAAGAGAACTTTGGTGTTTCAGGAGCCCAAGTATTGTTTTCACAAGTAAATCAGGCAGTAGGAAGCCCTTAAATGAAATTTAGTTTCCTGGCAACCCAAGCCATTGCTGAAAATTAGATTTAGGCTTTTAAAGGGCTTTGATGTTTTTGAAAATCACACTTCCTGCAGCATTGCCCAGCTGACTAGGTGTAATACAGTAATTTACCTTCTACTGGAGAATAGAATCACTTTGATGGCTTCAGTGGTGTCTGGGTGGTTGGGTTTGTTTCATAGAATGTAGAAAATTATTTTGCTGGGCATAGGCAGGGATGACTGGAATTGCTGACCAGAAAGAGGAGGAGGAAAGAAAGAGAATATGCCTTTTCCAGGATAAGTCCTTTGGGTGCTTTGTGCTTGATGCCAGTGGAGCCTGGGCACTGGCACGTCCCACCTTTGGAAGAGCTCCAGGAGCTTTTGGACCTCGATGCTCTGGGTCTTTCTGAATCTCTCCTGCTGAAACAATCCCTGGGACATCCCCCCATGGAAACACAGAACAGACTCCCCCACCACACCCACCACACAACCAAGCAGGGTTCTTGCTGTGGCTGTGGAAATCTGAGGTTCAAGTACCTCTGAAATGAGTTTTTCATGATAAATATGAGGAAACAAACACAACAGGAAGCATTAAGAGAGAAACTGGGGGGGGGAATAACTAAGAGGAATTTCAGGGGCCTCATTCCTGACCCCCCTGGGCAGGGCAATGAAGGCCTCAGATCCTCAACCCCTTGACTTGGGCTCCCACTTGGAAGATGGAGGCTGTGGGTTACTTTGCTTAGCACTGAAGAACTCACTGTTCCAAACATTTGAGAAAACCTGGAAGTTCCTTTAAACAGGAAATTTTAAAATTTCTCATTTTTATTCTAATCTTCAATGAGACTTTTTTTTTTTTCCTTAATGTTGGAATTTCCTGTGGAACAGAAATTCTGTTTTAAAACCATTTCTATTCAACAGGGCTATTCAGATGGAAGCATTTTCTTATTCATTCCACTTTGCAACTAACTGGTGCCACCCCAAATGTATTGCTCTTCCAAGAATGATGTGGCAGCCCTGGAATAGCTAATTAGCTGGGCTGTATGAAGCCTCTGCCAAAAGTTTCAGCTTCCAGAGGCATTCCTTTAAGGAATGGTGGTGTGGGTTTGGCTTTTGCAAGGATACACATGGTTTCAGGAGCCCACAGGCACCAAAAGTTAGTTTGTGTTTTGTAACTGCTCATCTCAACCCAGTCATTGAGCTGATGTCCTAACCACAGTGAGTCAAGCAAACTCCTTCAAAGCACTCCTGGAGAAAGCTTTTGGTTAATTTATTTTCCTCTTTTTTTTTTTTTTCTTAATAAAAAATCTTGTCTTTGGGGAATCTTGTAAGAAAATTCCACTTCTATGGCTATTTACTGGGAAAATAAATTCAAGCATTACTTGCATTGTAATATAATCCCTTGTAGATAAATACTTAACCCTCCAATTTTTGTACATTGTTAAGGCAAATGAAAGATGTCTAAATCCAGTACCTTTATACTTGGTCACCACAGCTGAGTTGACACTCAGAGGTTCTTGGAAGGTGACAGTGAGTGATGTACTGCTTGTTACCATGAGACAGACATTGGTTGGCGCCTCAGGGGCTCCTGGGAGAGAAGAGAAAACATCAGCTCCTCAGCACAACAAATCCTATTCAAACAATGTTTCTGGGTCTTCAAAGAACCCACTGAAAATCACCCTGCAATTGGGAGCTTCGGGTTGTAGGTGTTTGTGTTCTCTGCCTTTTGAGCATTTTAATTAGTGCCCCTGCTAACAATATCCTGCAGACACCATTTGTTTCTATCATGGTTTTTTTGGCTCCTTTCAGTTAAAAATATCTTCCTGCATATATGTAACCCAATAAAACAGATTCATGCTAATTATGTCAATGAAAAGCCCCTATAAATCTCTTGGGGTGGATAGGAGGAGAGAGAAAGGACAAAACCACAAAGAGCTAATTAAACCTTTATGGTTTCACTAGCAAATTCAAATTTGTCAAATAGCAGAAAACATTTTTACATTATTGTGATTCAAAAATTGCAAATTCCACAAGTGTTTCTGTGTAATAGTTCCAAAATACTGTTGTCAATTGAGGCCTAACATTTTGATTTAAAAAAAGAAAAAAAAAAGCTTAATTCACAGAATATCAATCAGACTCAATTCAGAAATCAAACACATAATGTCATGACTTACTGCTGGGATTGATTTAAAAAATCAGTATATTACCTTTCACTACTGCTGCATTTCCTGTATTTAGTATCTAATAGAGGGAGCACTACATCTGTCTCGAGGAAGTAACCTTAGAATACAATAAATTTGGGGAAATTATTTGTAAGTACATTTATATAAAGATGGTTGTAAAAATGTTAATGGCAATGATTGTATTTCATCAAATAGGATACAGCTAAAAGATCTGCATGTGAAACAATTCAGTCCTGTTTACTCCTTCCCATGGGCCCAAATTTCCATTTACTTGGGGTACACACTCACTTGTACGACTGTTTAAAGTGACTTGGTTTGTAACTGTGCTGATGAAATGGATACCAAGTGGTTACCAAAATGAAGATTAAATTTTTGCAATATTTATATGCAAAATGAAATTTCTTGTTTGACCAAATGCTTAGAACAATTCTGTTCCAAAACAGAAAAAGTTTTTGTGAAAAATAATCAAATTACAGCTGAGAAAAAGGCAACATCCCCATCCCTCTTCGTGCCTATTCATGTGTCCTTTTATAGTCATCTGGTTTTAAACTCTGAACATGTTAAATGAGATCCAGGAGTAAATGTGAAGTAAGAAGGACAGAATCATTACACCCCAAACCAGGAGTTTGGAGGTCTCATCAGTTTATGCAGCCCATTCTTGAGGAGATAAGTGCTTGTTGCCTTCAGATATTTGGTCCTTTATTGTTCTAACATCAGTTCCCTTCCCACCCTTGGAAAGGCCTCGGTTTTCCCTCCCTGACATTCTCAGCGCTGTGAGGGTCAGTCAGTGAGAGCACCTTTGGAAGGGTCAGTTGGTGAGAGCACCTTTGGGGGGGTCAGTCAGTGAGAGCACATTTGGGAGGGTCAGTGAGAGCACCTTTGGAAGGGTCAGTCAGTGAGAGCACCTTTGGGTCAGTCAGTGAGAGCACCTTTGGGAGGGTCAGTCAGTGAGAGCACCTTTGGAAGGGTCAGTGAGAGCACCTTTGGAAGGGTCAGTTGGTGAGAGCACCTTTGGGAGGGTCAGTCAGTGAGAGCACCTTTGGGAGGGGTCCAGTCAGTGAGAGCACTTTGGAAGGGTCAGTTGGTGAGAGCACCTTTGGGAGGGTCAGTCAGTGAGAGCACCTTTGGAAGGGTCAGTCAATGAGAGCACCTTTGGAAAGGTCAGTGAGAGCATCTTTGGGAGGGTCAGTCAGAGCATCTTGGCGTGACAGTCAGTGGTGAGAGCACCTTTTTTGGGGGGTCAGTTGGTGGAGAGCACGCTTTGCAAGGATGTTTCTCAGCTATAGGGTTTCTGTGGAGAGATTTTGGGCCCCCTGGTGTCACTCACTGGGCGTGTTCGTAAGCCGGCCTTCATGCGCTGGTGAGAGGCCTGGCCTCGCACTTCCAGGCCTTCAGCTGCTTCTCCTCTCTGCGGTGTCGGGCCCAGCCTTCGCTCCCCACCTGTGCAGACAGTTCAGTCACTCTCTGCTGGGCCTCCTGGACCAACGTGCTCAAATGCACCGACCTGCTTTCCATGTCAACAACTGCCAAGAAAAGGAGGGGGAAAAAAGTATTTTCTTGGTGGTGACAAAATTCTGCAAAGCACATATAAGGTCAAATCCTTGAACGCTCTGCCTTTCCCAGTAGTTATCTTGTATTCAAGTGAGTTAAGAAGCAATTTATACCACCTTAAAGATCTGGTCCCTTAAGTGGGATTAGCAACATGAATAAATTTAGCACGTTTTTTTTCTGCTGGTATTTCTCATATGCTTAAAAATGTCTTAATTAGACTGAAATTGCATTTGTGTTTTAAGTTAGTGGGATATGAAAACCAAAACTAAAAGCCAATAAGCCCTCTCTCTCTCCACCTACTTGCCATAGAGATCATAAGCCTTTCACAAAAAAAAAAAAAAAAAGAAGATTGTACTGATTATAAACACATACAATATATAAATCTCTACAAACAGAGAGCTAACTGACAAAATTAAGAATGAGAGTTTTGTGCCTGGGGGTCATGGCTGGTAGAGAATGGATCCCTTTCCAGGTTTTTGTTGTGCCAGTTTTGCCCATGTAATACCTAATTAGTTCTCTGAACAGGCAGTGAGCAGCTTGAGACACGGAGATTTTTTTTTCTCCAGTGCTCAGGGTAATTTTAATTTAATGTTTAGCAATTCAAAATGCCTGTATGAACTACTGTGGGCTACATAAAGGTGAAAATGAAGATCACATAGGATACAAAATAAAATAGGATTGATTTTATCCCAAGTCCACAAGACTGCCCTAAACCAGACTATAAAATCTCCCTGATTATACAGTGAAGTGTGGTGAATCAACTCATATTTTCAGAGTTGCTCTTTGCCTAAAATTGTTCAAACAATTTGCAGTTTGGAAAATAGGACTTGTAACATTGTTTAATCTCAAAAGAAATGCAAGTACTGATCAGATGTTCAATATGCAGGAAATTGTGTACAGGAGAAGAAATGCTGAAATCACGGGAAGTAATTGGTGTTTTTGCAGAAGAGCTCTGAGATAGTCTTAATTTAAAAGGCCTCTGTTTACCAAAAGCAGTGCCCTACCACATGCAGCTTCTCTTAGCAGTGGTGGGGGCTTGCTATGTAGGGACAGCTCTTGTTTCCCCAAGGATTTCACAGGAACAGCAGGAATCTTGCACAGGCTGCACTGAGCACTCACACAAGCCAGACATTTCTGAAAACATCAAATTGTACCAGATGAAGCACCGAGGCTCTGACGGGTTTTTGACATCAAAACACCACAGGAGCAAATATGTCTGCAGATATGAATGTGCTATTTTCCAAACTGGGATCATATGGGACAAATCAGATTGGAAAAGACCTCCTCTAGTCCAACCATCTTGTTCAAAATAGGCTCAGCCAAGAGGTCAGACCAAGTTACTGAAGGCATTATCCAGTCTGGTCTTGAAAACTTTCCAGGATGGATGAAGGCTTTACATCAACTCTAGGCAACCTGTTCCAGTGCTTCCCTGTCCTGATGGTGAAAAGAGTGTTTGTTTTATCCAATCTGAACTTCTTATTTTAACTTTTCCCTCCGTCTCTCATAATTGACAGTCAAAGTTTAGCAGAGTCTGAGAATAACCCTATGGACTGCTGTGAAAACTGCCCTGGGATCTCTAAAGCCACAGGAGGAGAGCAAAGAATTACTCGACACCTCTGACATCCAAAGGGCTGGTTTTGAAGAATGTTTGTCTCCAAGACTTTGCTTTCAGAAGCTGGCTTGCAGCCATCCTTCTTAAGTTGGATCATTCTTCACATGGACATCAGGGACATATGGGCAGGCTCCCTGGAATCTGCTGCTACCCTCAGAACTGCTGGTTTACTGGGAGGCCAAAGGTGACAGGATTTCCTGGATCCATGCCTACAATAAGTGTGCAACACATCTGACAGCACACCAGGACCGGGGAAGGAGATTTTATGTGCCAGAACTTCAGGTGATTGAGAATTGGCATTGGCTCAAGTTCTCACCAAGGATCTGGCTCTATCTGTTTAATCAAGATTCACATTCACATTTGTCAGGTCTTGGAAACGTGTCCAATCAGCCAGTGGGAATTTTAATCTTATTTTTTATTTGGGTTCACATGAACAAGCCAAACCATGAGTATATGATGAATAAGAGTAACTGAAAAGATAACACAGTGGACTTTGCCTCCTCCCCAGCTAAATTAGTGTTTTAAATGCTGTACTCTCTGACTTTAGTTACTTTGTATTTAAAAGATCCTGGTTTCCTGTTAAGATTTATACAATCTGAGATCCATGTGGAGATGAAGATCACAGTTTTACTTTCTATTGCTTTATCTGCTGCTGTTCCTGTTCCAGGCAGAAATCCAGGGGATACAGATGGAAGTTATCTGTCCTCCAGATCCTCTTTTCTACAGCATTAGGCTGGGGGCTATAATGAGATTTCAGCTGGATCACTACACCTAATATAGTGGCAGAGCAAGAGTTTTCTCCATAGGAAGCACTTGGAATGGGGAATTCCTCTATCTTGCAGCCTCCCAGCTCTGTGCATCTGTCCTGTACAGTTCTAATCAGATCAAGAGATGCTTGTGTGCGGTCCCAAAATTGGGTGAGTCAGGATTTTACCCTCCCATTGAGCTCAACTGCCCACCACAGAGAAATGGAAATGCTCCTGCTGGGTGCTGGGTCATGTTCTTGCAGCCCTGAGATGACACAAACAGAACAGATCTCATTTGAGCAGGGTTGGTTAAGTACAGAAAGCAGATACAAAGTGACTGGTATAAGTTCCACAAGAATGAAGCCACCTACAAAGGTGCTGTGACCCCTTGCTTTGAGGGCTGAAAATAACTTTGTGCATTTTGCTCTCAAGAAGCAACTGCAAACCCTTGAGGTAAGAAACCCAAACCAAACAATCGTTTGCTTTTTATTGAGAATGCTTCATCCATTATTTCAATCAGAAAAACTAAAAATCAAGATAAGTGAAGTGGAAATTTGGTGGGTATATTTTGAAATGGAAATGAGGTGGTTATATATTCATATTCTCTGTGTTCATAGGCATGTTTGCATTAATTACAGGAAATGAATACTAATTTATGATTGCCCCTGCTCGCCATCAGACTGCATTTATTTACAGATGAGGTCAATGAAAAATTAGTTTAGTCTTTTTTACTGCTGTTTAGAACACTCAAGACTGTGTTTTCCTCTAGATTTGTCATGGTTAATGAATGTTGCTTCAGCAGTCAATCATGTACTCTAAATGCTGTCACACTTTTTTTTAAAGCCTCAGTCATGAACCATGACAGAAAAATAAACAAATAAATATAAAACTAAAAAACTCTTTTCACTGAGCAGCTACACTATGCAAAAATCTCCAGGGAAGGTTAAAGGAGGCCAGAATAAATGATAATATAAGTGCTGTGGATATAGAAAAGCAATAAAGGTGTACCAACACTGAGGGTCTGGCAAAAAAACTCAACATGCACATGCACACACACTCTGCAGTGAAAAAACTGGCAATGTTAGTAGCCTCAAGGTGCAATTTCCTGGAGCACTGAGATTGACATGCCAGCACTAAATGTTGTTAATTTAACTAACTTCAAATTAATGGCAGAGTCTGCAGTGGCCGAACCCCTCAAACACAGTCTCATTATAGCCTTGCTGGGAATGTCCTAAATATAGGCATTGACAGTTTAAAACAAATTCTCATACATGGGGGTATTTTTAGACCCAAGTAAGGCGTCAGAGTTTGTGTCATGGTATAGGGTTGATTAATTGGGTTGGTAAGTCACCCTCCAACCTGCACACTGGGCAGAAAAGGGCCCACGAAGGAATACAAAGAAGTTTTATAACTACAATATGTAGTTATGAGCAATATCAGTATTCCAGGGAAGTGAGAAGGTTTGGTTTGTGTTTAGGTTTTCCCTGGTTCGGTAGAACTTTGAGAGTCTCTTTTAAGTGGGATTTTAGGCCATTTGAAGACGAGGAGTGAGGATTCTTTGGGTAATGGAAATGACAGATTTCAACACAGCCGGTCTCCTGAAGGCAGCAGAGCCAAAATCAAAAGGATAATCAAAATAAACTAAAGTCTAGACAACCCATCGTCCTTTCATTTTTGATAACAAACTCTTCATTGCAGCCCATGATCTTTGAGTCACTCAGTCCCTGTTTCTGTACTTTTAAAGATTTTTTTCTCAGTGCTGGTATTAACTCAGCTGGCCAGTGTTAATCATATTAGAAGCTCAACCTGATTCATCACTTGGTGTATCCGAGATAGAGAACAAAAATATCTCCTGAGCATGCATTCAACAAGCAGTTATTGCTGTAAACATCCCCCAGAACTGTGGTACTGTGCTGGTATAACCACCCTTATCATAAAACCAGGCAATTTGGGTGTGTCAAAAACTTTCCCCAAACCACAGCAAACTTGATCTCTTACAGGCAATTATCTAAGTCATTTTGTGTTCTTTACTTACAGTGTGGGCTTTCCTTTGCCCCAACGTGCAGAAGGGTCTTAGCAATAGGGACATTATTTGTCAAAATGGCAATATCCAGAGGAGTTAGTCCCTCACTGTTTGGTGTGTTCAGGTCCAGTTCCTCCAGTGTGTATTGATAAAGAAGAATCTGAACAGCATCCAGGTCCTGCTGTTCCACGGCCTCAAACATTGCTTCATTGCACTGGAAATTCTGTGTAGCAATGAGAACAGAAATTCAGTAAAATTTTTTAATTGTTAGTGCCTTAAAAATAAATGGAGAAGATTTGTGGTTTTTGAGATTACTATAAAATATTGACCCTCCAGCCCCAACTTAGGTTCAGCTAGAAGAATGGCAATTGTTTGCTGCAGAATTGGGCTTGGCCTGCCTGACCTTGCTTCAGGTCTGTGTGAGGATTCAAGTGAGTTTCAAACCCATATGAAACAAACCTATGCTTGTTTAGACATCTGTCCTGTAATCAAATTATATGAGCAACATCATATGTTTTCAGTGTGAAAACAGGATTTCGTGTGAAAACAGACACTGTGATTTTGGCAGAGTCTTGGACTCCTGAGTTTTCAAACTCAAAATTTAAAGTAAAAATCTACAAACTCAGGTGATCAAAATCTGAATCAAACAAGCTATTCTGAAGGAAAACCTTCCCAGTTCCAGTGTGAGCCAGCAATAGGTATTGACCATTTTACCACTTCAGTCATTTATAGGTGTTCGTATTATTGTGTTTAAGCTGTAACCAGAAGCAGCTTTGAAATACATAAAAAGATGTGGAAATGAGACTGAAAAAACTCAAGCAGGGAGAACCACTGAACCTTTTCCTTAGCAACATCAAGGAGATAAAAGAAAGGTGTAACACAAAGGCACCTGTTGTTCCTTAATTGAGCTGGGGAGAAGCAGGTGCAGGAGAGTAGCATGGCCTGCAGGTTTCTGTTATGAGAACATCCTTCTGGAGCTACAGTAATGACATGTTATTTGCCAAGATTCTTTACATTCTCTCCCAGTGTCCCATTGCCATAATTAGCCAATAGGGTTTTTCCCCTCTTTGGTATGAATTAGTAGGAGCAAGAGGCCCAGCCAGGCAAGAAGGGCTCAGCATGCAGAGGAACTGAGATCTCTGTAGGTGTGTTGTGCTCCTGGGCAGAGCTAAAGAAATGCAAGGATCAGAGAGCAACCATCCAGACATGTGATGTGAACCAGCTCCCTGTGTCCTGAAACCACGTGGAGGGAACACAGAGAAAATCCTTATCACAGAATGTATTCTTTATTCTATAAAATAAATATTAAATAGAAACCATCTTCTAGTGTGATTAGAAATTAACATTTCAACCACATCAAAATTTCGTTTTCTTTTTAAAATTGATGTAGTTTTGTTTGGCAGATCCCTGTCTGAGTTTTGCTCTCAGTGAAATGGCACTTTTTGAAAGAGCACTGACCTGCTGGAACATCTTTTGTCTCCTAAAATTCATGGGCTAATGGTTTGCAAGCAGTTCTGGGAACGAGAGTCCACAGCTACACCCTGGAATTTGATGGTTCTAGAGCGTTTTTTTTTTCAGTTGTGCTTGAAGTTAAAAGTGTCTTCAGAAGTTCCCAGGCCTGACAGAGATCTGGTCAGCTGTTTGGCATGTGAACTGTTGGTGCCACACTCAGAAATTGCAAAGATCACTTTATCTAAAAGTTTTAATATGGACCCCACCTGTGCAGGATTTTAGGGATCAGCAGAACAGGAGGACAGACGTACATTAAATGACCTTTACCCAAAATTGCCAGTATAGAGAAATGAGATTCCCATGTTAAATGGCTGTCTAAGGGTGAGAGGAACTATGCAGCAATAAAGCTACTCTGGGACAGTAGTGCTGACTTGGGAATCTCCCTTTTAGACACTGAAGTACAAGACAGCTCATGGTGGAGAAATATTTTTTCTATAGATTTCCACACAGAATAAAAAGATGCTGCCTAAAACATCAGTGCTAATCCTGGGGCTCTGTCAAATTCTTGGGTTGAGATTCTTCTCTACATTGTAAGATTCTGATTTAATTTTATTATCAAATATTTAGACCACATTTCAGTGTTAGGTGTAAGATAAAAACCTCAGAAAAAAGGGGGAGCTGGATGGTGAGCAGCTCGATTCATCATTCTTTATCCACCACTGTTCAAGAAAAAAACATGTCTCTGAGGACATGCACTGTCATTAGTGAGAGCACATGTCCAGAAAACGTTAGCAAAGAAGACAGCACATATCTCTTTTATTATAAAGTGAAACTTAAAAAATGACAGAACTTTTTACTGCAATGCAGCAATATTTCTTTGCCTTCCAGTAGCTCCTCCACACATCTGATGTCTTGCTTATATAACACCTTATAATCTTGATATCAGAGACCTTCCTCTTGTTCTGGTGTTTTGCCCCTACTCTGAAACATGAAGTGATCTGGCTAGAGGTTAAAAGAATTTATTTTAATTAATGGTATGATTCTGATACTTGCTGTATATCATCAGCTCCTCCTACTGATATAGGAAGTTCTTCTCTACTGTTGTTTATGGAAATACAGGATAATTTTGCTTCAGAGTCATTTGCATTTTGATCCAATCAGAAAACCAGCAAAATCATATTGCTCTTGTAACTGATCCCAGCAAGGAAAATCTACTTATTTAGCAATAAATTAATCAAGAGCTTATTACAAAGGGAATTTGTTGAAGGAAACTAAATTACTACATCAGTCTGCATTTCTTTTAGTTAAGTTCATTTTTGGAAACCATCTGAGAGCAGAGCAAAAAGGTAAAGCTGGTGATATTACTGAGTGACAGGAAAGTAGTTACTTCTCTGTTCACATTTTCCTTTCTGTGGCAATGGGTACACACATGGTTTTCCCTTTTTTTTTTTTTAAACCAGAATAGTAATTCTCTTTTAATTGGCTTTACATATGTGCACAAAAGTTAAATGAGTTAACATTTGTGGAGTGCTACCCTAAGTGCTCAATACCATTAATTGGCTTTAATTCCAACTTTGTGTGAAACTCAGAAAATCTTGTGCTACATCTCAGGAGTTTCTTGCATTATATAAAACAAAAATTCCCTGCTACATAATAAAAAAATAAGAGATGGTTAACTTTGGTATTACAGCTGACATTAACTCAAATTATGGCTTGCAAAGGCATTTGGTCCTTTTCAAATATATATACACCCACTTTAACAACAGATATTACCTATCTGACTGATTATTGTAGAATTATTTTAAAAACTTTGATTTAAATTGTTTGGTTTTTGTTTATTTTTTTATTCAGTTATCAAGATTTAGACCTGCCTAGATGCCTTTCAAAATGCATCTTTGGATTTTTGCTTGCCAAGTGAAATACTTGAAGTATTTGTGAAATTTTGGCCCTAAGTAAGTTGCTGAACAGAATCTAAGCACGTGTTTAAGTTAATTTGTCATAAACACTGTTGCCAACTAACCTGTTGGCAAGATTGTTTCACCAAAAGAGAAAAAAATAAAAGCAAATTTCTATTTCTTCATTTCATTAGAAATCTGATTGAAAAAGCTGCCCTGATTTAAATGAGAAGCAGAACATGAATATTATAAGCTACTTCATCCAGTTCAAACAATTATGAGACCAAATTGCAAATATCAGCTTTTCCAAATGAACAATTCAGACACAAGCAATGGGCTGAAATATGTTGGCAAGTCTTGTGACTCCAAAGAGTGTAAAAACTTGGGAACTGTGAGATGGCCTTTCTAGCCCATGTGTGCACCCCTCATGCTCAGAGCAGTGCCCATCTAACCATGCTGGAGCTTTTTCACTCAAAAACATCCTGGAGAGGCAGCAAAATATCTGCTACATCTTCAGCCCTGCCGGGGAACTGCCCCATTTGGAACTTTGCATCCACTAAGTCCAGAAAAATAGTCTACACACCTGACCAACTTTTCCCCAACTATTTGCTTTCACACAGAAAACAGAAATGTATTTGAAGATTATATAGTTTTCTGCAAAAAGCTGAGCATATTCCATGTAAAAGGCTCTCCAGTGTTGCAGTGTTTTTCAGACTTCTGCAGTCCAAGGATAAGAAATCCAAACAGGGGTAAGGGGCAATATCTTCAGACCCAAGTGCTCAATTTTAGTCCAGCTGGTATTGTCACAAATACCAACAAAAGCCTTCTGATTTCTGCCTTCATTTACATTTAGTAGATAACTTTCTTCTGCTCTGAAAGGACAAAACCACTGAATTCAAAGAGAAACTGGATCACATTTACAAGTGATTGGGAGAAATTTAGGAGCAGTTTTTACATTGCTTTTTCCTTGACTCAGCCCTGCAGCCTCTAATCATTAGCTGGACAGCTGTGCTATGTGATTAATTTATTTAGGTGTTACTCTGATGCACAAATGTATATACTGAAAAGAACTACAGTATTGCTTTGCAGTAAGTAATAACCATGTTCCAGTAAGTGATTCAGTGCCAGAGTGTTTAGAAATGCAATCTTATGTAGCTTAATTAAAATGAAGTGCCCCTTTCAAGCTATTTGCTCTAGGTTTGACTGAAAAAGTCCACTATGTGCTACTGGAGTTGGAAAAAGTGGTAAAGTAGTTTCTGCAAAGACTTGTTTTGATAAACATGAGTTCAAGAATAAAGCTATTTTGGGACATTGCTATGTCTGCAGCAAGACAACAATTTACTGAATGGAAAGTGTTGCACAGCAAGAGAGACTGGAAAGAAAACTCTTCACTAGCCAAAGCTGAAAGAAAACAAATTCTAACAAATGTTGTTCACTTGTCTGGAGACATGATTTTACTCATCGACTTCGCTCTGGGGCACAGAAACTCAGTGATCAGAAAATTCATCAGTCAGCAACTTGACCTGGAATATTTCCACCCCTTGCTATTTATTTCTAGGGAAAACTGGGAAAACAACGAGCAGGATGGATAGAATGGGATCCCAAACCTCTTGAGTCGAGTGGGAATGTGTTCACTGAGTGTTGTGGACACCAGCTCAGCCCCTGGACTGGCAGGACCTACAGGTACCTCTGCTCGCTGTGGGTCAGCAGTGATAAAAGCTGTGACACCCCCAGGACAGTGGGGTGGGCTGGGGAAACAAAGTGAGCACAAATAAGTCTGTATCCCATTAAACACCACCCACCTCACCAGGTGAGAAGGGGTGTCACAGCTAGGACTGACTGAACAGGCACTCCCAGCACGTGGCAGATCTGGAGCGAGGAGGGACAGAAGTGAGACTGTGAGTAGTTGGCTTGGTTGGCAGAGGACTCAGCCCTCAGCAGCAGTGCCCTGCTTCTCAGTCTTCTGGCTGGGCTCATTGGCAATTTCTCTTCTCATTAGTTAAGTATGACAGAAGATCCCATATTTGAAGGAATATGTAATTTGAAGTGTGTATTTGGAGAAACACTGGTCAGAAGATATGCTGACAGACTGGCACTCATTCAGTCTGCATGTCACTCTGCTCTGGCACGGTCCCCAGCTCTACTTTATCCTCCTCTTTCACTCACTTAGTCACACTTAAGCTTGCAATTAGAAAAAAAAAAGGCAGGACAAGATAGTGGCTAAAAAAATTCATCTAAAGAATCTTTTCCCACAGTTCCTACTTTGAGACCCCAATTCAAATCATCCCTACAAACTGAAAAGCATCTGGAAACCCATGGCCTCAAAAGCACAGCTGTTGGCTCCCATGCAAAGGCTGCTTTCCAGCTCTCAAGCCCTGTTTGAGTTTCAGGCTTCTCCTGTAAAACAAGAATCTATTGGCTCAGGCAGAGCTGAGGGAAGCAGTGACCATCCCCTGCTTCCTTCAGGTCCTGGTCTTTCTTCACAGGAGACAGACAACTATCTCCATGGGTCCTCTAACTTCAAGAAAGGCAAGATCCTTGGGGATAGCATCTGCCACTTGATTTTAAAAAAATTTTCAATTCCTGCATTGATTCATACAATTTGTGTCATACATAACAAAGATTTGTGAGTGTTAAAGGAGTCTAGAGTGGGCTTTTTCCTTCTGACAATTTTTGTTGTCTGGCCCAGACACACTCAGAGTTTACTCCTGCATTGTGTTGAGCATCTGCTCTAGTGGAGCACAGAAGTGGTTCCAAGAGGTGTCTGCTGGTGCATTCACAGACACTCCATTAGTCACTGCTCTTCAGAAGAGGAGAGGAGCTCTCTCCTTCAAAATAATTCAGAGGAGAAGTTGAAGGATGTTCTTCCTACTTATGGAAAAGGGGAATTTATTTTGTTTTGGCAATATCAACAGCAGGTTTATCTTCCTCCAGCAAAAAGTTCTGCTGTGCACTGAACTTCCATTGTGGTGTTATTTCAGGGACACAGGCCATTCTTCAAAATTTGTGCACTGGGGGTTGTGTGACTTCACCAGTACTGGCAGAAACAGGAGCCCTTGTGAGGGTTAAGTCCAGCATGTGCTGTGCAGTGCTGGCAGCAGAGTGCTTGGCTGTGATTTGGATGGGGTACTCAGGCCAGACTGCTCCATGTGTGATCTTATTCTGTGGTCTTACCTAGTGACCATCACTACAGTCTCTGAACAACCTTGCATTTATCTGTCAGGCCTGCAAGTTCCACTTCCACTTCTATTTAAGCCACCTTCAGTTTTCTCAAAATACTTTTTATTCATTTCTTATTCATTTCTTGTAAGAGAAATGAATTTTTATTCATTTTTTATTCATTTCTTGTAAGAGAAGCTGTTGCATGTATAGATTTAATTCACATTTGGTCACTTAATGCCAAGTTAAAACCTTACTCCTAAAATAAAGCATCATCACTTGCATAAGGCAGCCTTTCTTTAGCCTTCAAGAAGGGCAGACTTTTATTTTCAAATAAAAGTCTTACAAATGACTTACAAAGACTCCCAAAGGGTAAGGCTGTGAGGAACACACAGTGCTGGTCGGGGAGCAAAAGCCAGATGATGAAAACTGCTCAGATTAAAAGCAAACTGATTGAGGAGATTAATAGGAGAGTAAATTGGCAAGTTGCTAGAGCTCAAGTCATTACCATGGAGGTCTTGCGGAGGCTGAGGCGGTCGGAGCGCGCTCGGAAATAGGCCTCGTCGAAGGACGTGTGGCTGCCCTTCAGCTTCTCCGACAGGTTCCGATAGAGCCGCTTGGCAGCGTTGGGAGAGGAGGGCATGCTGTGCTTCTTGGTCTGGAGGAGACTCAGGTTGTGCATTTGCTGGGTCATTTTCAGCTGGAAGTTTCTAGAAGAGAAGCAGCGGCTGTTTAACGAGGTTTTGCCGCACTGTCGGTTGGGACTGTCCCAGTGACAGGCTCACCACAAGGCTGCTGGGGCTGAGAGCTCACCCACAGGCTGGGAACACTTAGAACCCACTTTTTTGGGCTTTTCCAATGGCAAGTTGCTCTTTATAGAATATGTACAGGGAGGGGGAAGGAAGGATGGCAAAAATAAAACAGACCACTTCAAAATTATTCGCTAATTTGTCTAAGAAGGGGTTTCAATGAGTGAGGAAAACAGCCTTTTGACAGAGTGAGTTCTGGTGTGCAGGTGTCAGAAAAAATGACACCCAAACTAAATGTTGCTGTTTACAGTTTCATACTGAGTGGTTTCTTCCTCAGTTAGTGGACAGGCACTGGTTTTGTCTGTATATTATATCACTTTATCCTGCTCTGTGTTTGTCCTGTCCATTCAGACCACAAGCCCTTCCAAGAGGGACTGCAGCCTCTGACTGCCTACCCTGATGAGATTTCCATATTATCTCATAATTAAACAATACTTTCTATGTTCTATGATTACAGTAATTTTTCCATATTAGGAGAAATTGAATTAATATTTAACTCTGGAATTACTTTATGTGGGAATAATTTTGCCTAAGAATCAGATTTGACCCAACTTGAAGCATAGGAAACTATCCCCTTGAAGTCAAATGTGACAAAAATGCACCATTTCTTCACATTCCCTTCTTTCCTGTCTACATCTTTCTTTCTCACTTGTACACTGTGGTGAGCAGACACCCCAAGCACAAAAGTATCTGATTCTGTGTAATCTCACATATTCTCCACAGGCACAGGGTATTGAAGGGAGACCAGGTCTCTGAATGAGGAGAGACAGAGTCAACACAATTGTCATATGTGATGAGAGGACTTTGTTAAATTAGAACAACAGCATGTGCAATCAGAAGGGAATTATGTGAGCTGCATCCCTGAAACTAATGTGCAAGTGTGGATATGATGAGAAACAAGCTCTCTGAGACTCAATACTGCAAAGATTTTGGACTGATTTTCTCTGAGCTTATGGAATAAAACGATTATCCACCTTCCACTTTTCTCTGTTATTAATATTTTAAAGAAACTCAGCAATTTATCAAATTTTATAATGTAATTCTCAGTTACTTAGAGTAACGCATCCAGTTTCTATTTTTATATAGTGCTACAGATTATCCCACATAAATTTCTCCTCTTAACATCTGTTTTCAAGAATTTCTCCCTACTAACAGTGGAGTGTGGGTCGAGACACAGTCCCAAACTGTGGACAAAAATAGGCCAATAATTGCCATAGGCATGTTTGCAAAGGAAGTTTCAATTTCCCAAAACCATTTGATTTCAAGAGTACAGTCATTGAATACCAAATACCACACAGTCAGTAGTAAACTCAGGAGAGACAGAACAGTTTGCATTCACTGTGCAAACCCAAACACCCTCACGACTGTCCATGTTACACATGGAAGCTTTGTCAGTAGATGGCCAGAGCAGACCCCTAAGCCTGAAACACATGGAAGAAGATAATGGAATCACTTATAATCTCATCAAAGTTTCTATTAAATCTCGAGCAGGTGAGTCTGCACCTTAAAAATGGCAGCTATTCACCAATAAAATGGGTGGCACCTTTGCTATCCACACAGAATTGAGGCATCACAAATGACTTGAAACACAGAAATGTTCCCTGTATACTCACCATCAATATCCTGGACTAGTGCAGGGAATAAACACAGAACAATAAAGCAATAGCTGGAATAACATAATGCAAATGAACTGCATTTTTTCACCACTGTACTGAAACAGTAAGATGCAAAATGCTGCTGCACATTATCATACTGAGCATGTTTTCTAGTCACATAAAAGGTATGAAATGAAAGAAGAAGGGTAAGTTGCATATTCTGGAAAACTTTCTGGAAATGTGGTCGTATTATGCTGTAGAAACAACTCCCAGGAGAGCAATGTGAATGAGATAGGGCAAAATCATGGGTAAAAACATAATAAGAAATAAGGAAACAAACAGCTTGATTCACATGATTCTACAATGGTAAGCAGAGGGGGGGTTTTAGATGTTGTCACTTTTTTTTTACAGACATAAACTATTTCATGAGAGCAGTTTTAGGCTCCATTTAAAGTTACTAATTCTGGATTTTTTTACAACCAAATCCTTGCCTCAACAATCAGGTCAAGTCCTGAAATGTGCATTGTCTTGACTAAAATAACAAATCCCCCAGCTGAAATGCACTTAGGCTCAGGATAAATCATTGTCACAATGAAAATTGTTACAGCACATCAAAGACTAATTTAGAAACAGGAGATGTCCAGAACTGATCCATTTGATTTTTCACCTATGGAAGCCTCTGCACAAAGGTGACACAGGTCAGGGTGAAATAAAGACATTTCCTTATGGTTTGGAGATGTGTGATCCAACTTGCATTCCCACAGCAAGTGGAGAACTGCAGCAAACAGCAGAGCCCAAGGTTTCTCAGTAAAAGGCAGAACTAGATAGAATGACAACAGCAGCTCCCCTTGTAACTGTTCATAACTAGCAGCAGTTTGCATTTCCAAGAATGAAACCCCACAAAAGTCTTAGGGCAGCTCTCTGGGGAAACAGTTACTGCACCACCCTGGGAACACCCACCAGCCCAGTCTGGTTTGTGTGACTGTCACCCTGCCTGTACCAAACCAGGGACTGAGGGCTCCCCACACACATTTCATGCTGCACATCCTGTAGCTCAGTCTCAGTGATAGAATTTCTACTTGCCCTTCTAAGCACTAAAGTAATCATTTTATTCCCCCAAATCAGGGTGCTACAAATTCAAATTCAAATACAAATGAATATGAAACAGTTGCCCTTACAAAAGCTTTTTTTTTTATAATTGCCAAATACTGAGCAAATGTTCATGCCCTTTAAAAAAATATTACAGAGAGAGACAAAAACCCAAACCTAAATTATAGCTCACTCTCTGTTGTCTGTGGCACACATATGCAAAACTGTACAGACAGGTGCACTGGTAGGGCACAGCATAGCTGTGAAAGCATTAACTTCACATTTTAGGAAAACACAACAGCTGAGAAACCACTCCACACTGAATGTTTATGAAACCGTCTTAGAGTTGAAACTAATAATGAAGAATATATGCATTAAAGAGTTAAATTTTACTTACCAGCTTAGGCTATCCAAGGCAAAAACGTGAACAAGTTGCTGGTAATTGTCCACTGTCTTCCTTCAATGGATCACATTAGCTTTGCTGTCTCTGCTGGCTCAGCCTCTGGGCAGAATGAGTAAACCTCTTCCTTATACTGCATGAATGATCAGATATGGAAAAGCTTATTACTAGTAATTACACAAGTCCAAGACTGCTGATAAAATCTCAGAGCAGAACAGTATTGAAAGCAAATAGTGTTGTATCACAGGTAAAATGTTTGGTGCCTTAACTGTACTCGAGTTACCTGTGCAGCTACAGGAGTGACTGCTCTGGGAAGCTCTTGTTTCCATGTCAAAGAAGCCATGGGTCCTGTGTGCTTTTAGCTTGTTGGAGCCTCCAAAACTGATCAGCAGCACAGCGTGCAAGGAGAAAAAAGAATTACTGCCAGAGTAAACCAAACTGCCACTGTAATTAATTTGCCACGAAATATGGGCAAAAAGACATTAATGCAGCCATCTTCAAGCAGTTGGCTTTGTGTTAAAACAATCAAAAGGGGAAGAAAAAAATCCCAGTGCTACACTCAGTGCAGTAATGCTTGTTGCATGTGATGTATTGTTTCTTCTTTCTTGAAGCACGCTGCCACTACAGCTGTCTGCAATCATAGCAACAAAAGCAGCAACCAGAGCCATAGCTGTGGGACATCTGCAGGATCACTGGAAAGCTCCCAGCCTGAGCAGGTTATGCTTAAAAAAAAGATTATTAAATGAATAAGAAAAACAAGCCCTAGTGAAACAGGTCCTGTAATGTCTGCATTAGCAGCTTCCAAAATAGTAGAATGGTGGCATTTCGAAATCTAATTTTTTTTTTTTTTACTATAGGGCTAAAAATGCAAATGCAGGATCCCACGGAAACCCACAAAAATGTTGCTAAGTCAAATATGGAATAGCTGTACTTAGAATTCTAAAAATAGTGTAGGTGATAATCAAAGAGAAACAACAATCTAGAAAATTGTTATCCTTCTGGACAGCCCACTGGGTTAAATTTGTGTAACCAGAACACTCCTGTGTAACATCTGGCAATAGAAAAGAATTAAAACACACTAATTCCTGGGTCTGTCATAGCCAATGATCAATAATATCTACAGAACAGGTATTTTTTATTGTTTTTAAAGGGATATCAGAGCTGGAGTTACAGTCTGCTGAAAAAATTCCCCTGGTTTTATTCAGACATGATGCTTATCTTTTGGAAAATGTTGGAAACCTCCCAAAATCCGGTGATCAGCCTGATTCTCCCACCTTTCAGGACTCAGTTCAGGATGCTGTGCCTCCTACCAAATAGCAGCTTTTCGCCCAAGTAGCTGAACCTAAAACGTAGTCCCAGGCCTGATGTTTGTATACAATGGAACTTGAACTTAGTCTGTATTTTTAGATCAATCTGGATATGGACCAAACCCTTCTCTGAGGGTTTTTCTCTATGCACATATGCATCCATATCCACGTGGGGGTGTTAACAAGCACACGGATGTATCTCAAGGACATAACAAGAATATCAAATGCAATTACTTATGTGTTTTACTGCAGCAGAGAATTGAAAAGTGCTGGGACAACATACTATGAACAACATTCCTCCTCCTATACTGTGAAAATCAGAGTGTATAGGGTTCCCTCTTTTGTTCTGCCCCTCCTAAGGATCATCAGTCAGAAGGCAGCAGGACAGCTGACTGAGGTCAGTGCTCCTTGCCAACAGGAGAAAATTGGAAATCTTTTAAAAACCACCAAATACCTCTCTAACACTGAGATACTATCTGGAAAAAAAGCATGCTGAAAATCTGAGAGGTTTACATCAGTT